TTATGAAAATTATGTTTAAATTCGTGTGATAAACCTTTTTTATAAAATAATTCAAAGTTAGTGTATGTATTGCTATATAGTTTTTATGCTTACAACAGAGGGTTGTTTTCCGTAAACAGATTCATATAATATGGGCGCATTATACGTAGAGTGCGCACTATCTGAGTAAAAACATGCATTTTTGTAAAAAATGAAAGTGCACTATACGGTGGGGGCGCACTAAAGGGCGTCAAACAGGGTAATTAATAGTTTAGCACTTTAATAAAATTTATAAACACACAGAAATATTAATTTAAAAATACATATTATTAGTGTATTAATAATTAATAAATAAAAATATGCAATTCAAAGTATTTGACTTAAGGGGTAGTAACCACAAAAATAACTTAAAGTCTTGAGTTTAAAACCTTTGCCAATAATTTAAAATAACAACATTTTTGCTAGCTTCATTTTTTTAAAAACGGATAAAATTGATAATTTTATCTATGATACCAATACTAGTCTCATAATAAGTTAGACCCGGGTTAAAATACACTTTCTTGACCACACCTAATGTTTTGCACTCAATGGCGGTCTTAATGATACCGATGTCCTGTATTTGACTGATACGGTGATCGACCTTTTGGGCCACTTTTATAGTCATTAAATCATTGAGGTGTTCAGTGGCCGAGTATTGCGCCAAACAGTGGGCCAACTCGTAGCCAAACCACGAACCGGTAGTTTTATTGCGCGGCGATACATAACCTAGGTGGTTGTTTTATAAATAAACTCATGATTAGTATAATTTAGTACGCATTAAAGTGCTAGAAAATAGCAATTATAGCTTGTTTGTTATAAATTATTAATATAAAATAAAATGTTTTAATAACATTAACAACAATTATATTATTAAGTATAGGAATTTTTGTTTTAGTATAAATAAATAATTTGTCAATTTAGTTGAGAGAGAGAGAGAGAGAGAGAGATAGCTAGGTTACCTACTCATTTAATAATACAACTAAATAAATAATATTTATTCTATATTATAATAGTGTAAATTACAAGGATTAATTACCTTGTATAGCTGAATAATACACAAACATATCACTCCATATGGGAACTCGTTCTCGGGGGCTATAATCCATTGCCTGTGGACCCTCAGCCGCAAACTCTACAAAAACACCCCGGTCCAGTTCATCTGAAATATGTGTGCATAATCCTATAAGTTGATTTAATATTACAATTTAATTTTAGCAAGCTACATACGTCCCCGGCAGGCGCTGATAAAAAACATTTTTGGCTTTCTGAACAGTTCACGACAGTTGTAATTATTAAAATACCCCAAAATAGTCTTCACGGGAACTACCTGTCCGTCCGACCCGTTCACACCATCCTCACAGCCGTGACTCAGTATAATAACTACCAGCGCTTCATGTGCTGATAGCTCTGTCCCCCTATTCCTGAAGCCCATCAACAACTTTTTTATCTGATCGCTGGTCTGATTGTCATACATATGGACATCGAAACCGAGTTGACTGAACACATCGGACAGTCGGTAGGCGTCCGCTCGCGAACCGCTCCGGAACGACAGCTTCGGGTCCGCAAACACCTGGTTATTAATGATAATACAGAAACCCCTGACCCTACGTGTCATGGGGTATACGTCTCCCGATTTATACGATTTTAATTTCTGTGCCTTTTGTACGGCTAATACTTTATTAGACTCTCGGCTCGTATTAATCAAATCTCTGAGACGGGTCATCCATTTGGAGTTAAGTTGGTCTAATTCATGGGTTATTAGTCCGGAGTGTTGGATAGTGTGACCAAATGTCTGAATGTCTGTCCGACCTCTGGATTCAATGTTAGCTATGATTATCAGTAATACATTTTCGCTGTCAGTTTCCGTGCGATTGCTCTGAATTAACGAATTTATGGATTATTTAAATTAGTATACAGTACAGTAATTTATTTTTAATATTAATAAGGTTTCAAAATATTTACCAGTAAGTGTGCTAGGTCATTCTCCGTGAATAGTTTACTGTCAATCAATAATTGTTTTAAACTAATAATAAAATCTTGTAAAATATTAATATTTTTAGCCATTTGTGTTACATTTACACATTTGTTACTTGAATTCACTTTACAATGAGTAATGCAATATTTATTACTTATTATGAAAAACAATAAGATATTGTCAGATAAGATACAATAAGGTAATGTCTCATAACATTTTTCTAGCGTAGTATATTTTATATTCTTAATTATCTATATTATTGTTATTTACATTAGTCTCGAGTGTACAGATACTGTACTTATATAATATTTATCCATAATTTTGTCAAATCCTGAATCCCACATACAATGACTCATTTAACTGTTACATTAAAAAAATTTTATTTTAATTTTATTAAAAATTACATGCTTGCTCAATGAAAATTAAGATTATACCGGTATTTATGTTAGCTTAACTTATGTAACTGAGAAGCTACTTTTAAGCTGCTTCTCATATAATGTAAAATACCAATCTAGCATGGAATGCACCCTAATTAATTATCTAAACAATGACCAGGATTAAAGTAAAGTTTTTTAAGCCGCCCTTTATTACGAGTCTCGAGTGCCTGTTTCACCATCTGGCTGTCCACATAGCTTTCCCTATTGTGTAACTTTTGCGCCACTTTTATGGTCACCAAATCGTTGAGGTGTTCAGTGGCCGAGTATTGCGCCAAACAGTGGGCCAACTCGTAGCCAAACCACGAGCCCCTCAACGAATTCCGTGGCGATACATAACCTGTGTATTGAGATACAGTTAATTATTTAGTTAATCTTGGTAATATTTAATAATATAAGGGAGCGAGCAGCTATTTAAATCAAAAATAATTTTTAAGATTATTTTGTTAAAAATGTTTAATTTAGATAAATTTTTAGATTTACTTTAGATAGATATTAATTTCTAAACATACCCTCAACAGTGGAAAAGTAGACAAACATGTCACTCCACTCAGGTATTGACCTGGGTACATCAGGCACTGCTGGTTCACTTAGCGTTGCTCCCAATGATTTTAGACCAGGATCAATCGTGGCTATAATACAGAGCATTTTTAAACATATAGTAAATTAACTTTAACCCCATACTTACTGCCCCTACAGGCGCTGATAAAAAACATTTTTGGTTTATCCACGAGTTTCGGACAATTCTTGTTATTAAACATCTCGAGTATGGCCTCAATGGGGACGGCTATCCTATCGGTGCCCTCCACTCCACTCTCGTTGCCATGGGATAGGATGATAACTACCAGTGCGTTGTGAGAGTACAGCTCATTATCATCCCTCAGCGCCTCCAATAAGTCCATCATTTCTTCGGCCGTTTTGTTCATCAAATGTCTGACCCGGAAATGGAGTTCCCGGAACACGTGGGACAGCCTATAGGCATCAGCCCGGGAGCCCTTCCTAAATATTTGCCGTAGGCTTCCCGACTGGAAGAGCTGGTTATCAATGATAACACAGTATCCCCGGCACCGGGCGCTCATGGGGTACACGTCTGAGCCCGACTCCGGGTGTCGAGCGTTTCGGACTGTTAGTATGGGTTCGGACAGTGCCTTAGGTATGGATAGCATGTCTTGGAGTCTAACAAACCACAGGCTCTCCAACCACTTGTATCGCTTTTGGGACAGTAGGTCTGACACGACTGTCCCCTCTATGATAGAGCAAAATCTCTCGATGTCTATCCGGTCCCTGGATTCCAAGTCCCCTATGATTTGGTTTAATTGGTTTTCTGTGTCATCCGCTTTGGTCTAAATTATAATAATATTTAGTATTAACGAATTAATTTCTAAGCATGATCAATTACCCATAATTGTGTTGCTTGGTGATCCTTTTCAAAAAATTTATGATGCTTTAATAGTATTTTTAGTTCAGCTAAGAATATGTCTAAATCCATTTTTAATTAGCGTCAACTCAAAGTATAAATACAAAGTATATAATATTATTACAGTCTGCCCCCGAGATAAGGTAACTCGGTATAAGGTAAACCCCGTGATAAGGTGCATAAGTTTACCGCACCGGCAGCTCCTATGGGCTTGTAACGTTAAAATTCCCCGATATAAGGTAACTCGATATAACGTAAACCTCGAGATAACGCACACATAATTTTGGCACACTAGACGTTTACCCTCGAAATAAGGTAATGTCATGCGCGTAAAAAGCCAAAACAAAATATTTATTATTAAAATAAAGTATTTTGAAAATAATTAACATAAAAATTTAGAAAAATAAAGCTTAAATCTCTTCGTTTTGGAGGAATAGTAGCCTTCACTAAATTAATTAGTCGTTTTAATGATTAGAAAGTTGTTACAAAAATTATATTTATTTTCTTTATAGATCTAGATATTTATAATTTAAAAATTAAGATAAATAAAAAAGCTCTAGGTTAAAGGTAATCATATTTTAAGAAAATATTGTTTGTATTTCAAACGACTAAGTTTTTATTTTCCTAAAATTAAGTAGTAAATGGTTTAACGAAGGATACAAATAAAATCCAACAAATTAAAGTTAATGTTAATTTTTAATTACAATGATTTTAATAAAAATAATGAATAATTTGATTTCAGGAAAGTAATTAGTACGCTATTTGACTGGATGTACTGAACTGACTCCCTATTTCGCTGCAATT